GTGTCCCTGAGCCTGTGTACGAGCACATTCACCGTGTCCCTGAGCCTGTGTACGAGCACATTCACCGTGTCCCTGAGCCTGAGCAGCACACACAGCCCCCGGGGGGTGGGGGATCTTCAGCTGAGATTTCTTACCGGTGCGCACCTTTAATTGCTCCCCTGAGGCGCGGCCCCGATGGGTGCGCGTGCGCGGACAAGCACCACCGGGAGCGCGTCTCTGCGACTCGGTCTGTTTTAAAGTATGAACCCGCGGAGCGGCTGTGTTTCTGGTCATTGTAACCTGCCCAGTAACAGAGGCACCAATCCTGTACTGGACTGGTCACTACCGACCAGGAGCTTCACTGCTCTGCTCTGGCTTTGCTTGAGACTGACCAGGTCTGGGTGCTGAGGGTTTATCTCCATCTCCTGAACATTCCCTGTGTGCTGTATAGTATCATACTGTTTGTTAATCTTGTTGAAGCTTGTCTCAGGAAGTGTGTATGGCTGTTACTGATGCTGGACTCAGCTCTGTGATTGGTGGGACAGCTTATTGCAGATCCTCAAATTTACTTACCTAGGAGAGAGGCAACGAGAATGAGATTCTACAACTTGAAATAATTTGATGGAGTTTTAATTAAGTGAGATTTCTGGATGGATGGTGCTCGTTTGGGGAAGTAATTTACTTTTGGAATACCTGTTAAGGAAGTTCTATGGAGCCCCACAATGTAAATGTGGATTGTTAAATTTATGTACGTTTGAGAGTGGAGGTAACAGAGGTGTACAAAAGGGGAATGTGGTGAATTATAATGTCAGTGCATGTTTAGGAAGAGGGTGAACAATTACTCAATACCATTGCATTAGCCAGGTGTGAGATGTGCTTTGCCCCTCCCTATCTCTGGAGCCTTCCATTATCTCTCCCTCTCTCTAATTCCATTGCCCTTCCATCACTGGTCATGGATTTTAGCTGCAGAGGCTCTGAACTCTGGCTTTGCTTCACCTCACCTCACCTCTTCATCTCTCTACCTCTCTTTCTTCCTTTGAGTTCATCATAAACATTTATCCTTTTATCTTTATCTGGCTCACTGCCATGTCATGCTGCTGTAAAATGTCTTGGGATGTTTTGCTCTAATGGTCATGCATGTATATAAGTTGTTTACTTTTTATTTCTTTTTTGTAATAACTGGTATTTGGCAGGAGTGAGCGTGGAAGGAAAATGATTAGAATAGGATTGTCAGGTTCCTGTTTGCAACCTTCATCCCTTGCACAGTTACTTTATTGGATGGATTCCATTAAATGAGCCAATCTCCAAAGGTGAAACCTGAAATTCATTATTTCCATTTCATCTTTTACAGAATTTGACCCATTTAAGGAATCTGGGTGACCCAAGGTTGAAGAGCTACCAGCTGTTGCTATGGAAGTGGCTGAAGACGTGCACAGTGACATTGAGTCAGATCGTGGCCTTGAGGTAGGAATGTGCTGTGTCCCAGCCTCAGTCTACCGTTGTAGCCTCTGGTCACGTACCCGAATACAGAGAGAATATCATGAGGTATATTGACGCACTGACACAGCAGGATGTGAATGTCACTTTGAGATGGAATTTTAATTTTAGCTAAAGTCATTTCAGAGTAAATGCAGTTAATGAGTTCTCCTTCCAGCTTCCTATGTTCAGGCTGTGCTGGGACCTGCAGGTGAAGAGCTTGCATTTAACTAGCACTTTCCACATCCTCTGCAACACCTCTTAAAATGTTCACTGCTGGAATTCTGAGAAATGCAGCAGTCACTTTACGCACAGCAAGATCCCACAGGCAGTACAGTTCAGTTATTTCATGACTTTTATTTGTTGGAGTATGTGAGGGTGAATATAGACTTCAGAACGTCTCCACAGCACTACTCCCCCTGCCCCTTTACAAAACAAAGTGCCTCTGTTTCTTTTGAATGTTACCACAGGACCCTTAATAACCTCACATCTGGAACACAACATTGATATTGCATTAATTACACATTGTGTGTATGTCCTGTGGTGAAGCTTGAACCCATGACCTGGCTGAGATGAGAGTTTTACTGACCCCAGATGGGAAATACAAACCGGTAAGACCTTTTATCCTCACCTCCCGGTAGAGAGCTAAGACCAGGCCTCTGGGATGTTAATGATGGTGCTTCCAACGACTGGGATTAAAGGCTAGAGAATGCCCTACTGGGTACCTGACCACCTTTGTAGTTCAGTCAGAATCCTGTGTACTGAGGGCTCATCTACAAGCTTGCTGCATTATGTGGGTACCAAGAAAGGGTTAGGTTGTGTTTCTTTTGTAGTTTAGGAAGGGCAAGGGCCAGAGGTGATAGCAAGGAAGGGCAATACTGATTTGTGTCGGAGTCTGTATTTGCTCTGTGATTCTGATTAAGTGAGCTGTATGATTAAAGTATGAAGGGGTGACGATATTGTTTGTCTCTTTAACAAAAGATTTGGAGGAGAGGGGTTTAAATTATTACATGGGATTAAAGCTTTTCACTATTTGAGGTTCATGTTAAACTTGTGATGTTAATTCAGTTTTTCTCATGTTGAGGTTTAAGTTTGAAGGGGTGGGAGATCAGACCCTGGCTTTTGAGGGTCTCTGGATTTCATTAAAAGCATGATTTAGTGAAATTCCACCAGCATCCACATCCAGAGGATCATTAGCTGCCATTTCCATCACCTCCAACAAGATGTCACCACTAGATACATATTCTCCTCTGCTCTCTTTTCAGACCTCTGTAAGGAACATTCCCTCCAGGACATCCTGATTCACACTTCCTTCACTCCCAACATGTCCCTACAGCCTCATGGCACCTTCCCCTGCAATTGCAGAAGGTGTAACACCAGCCCATTTAGTTCTTCCCTCTTCCCCATCCACGGCCACAACGCACTTTCCAGGTGAAGCAGTGCTTTACCTGCATTTCACTCAATCTAGTCTAATGTATTTGCTGCTCACAATTTGGTTTCCTGTACATTGGGGAAACAAAGTGCAGACTGGGTAACTGCTTCACAGAACACCTATGTTCCTTCTGCAAAAAAGAGCCTGTGCATCTAGTTGCTTGCCACTTCAATACACCACATTGCTCCCTGGCCAACATCTCGCCTCAGTCTTGCTGCAGTGCTCCAGCGAAGCTCAGTGCAAGCTGGAAGAACAGCACCTCATTTTCTGCTTGGGAACCCTGCAGCGCTCTGGACTCACATCGAGTTCAACAGTTCTAGGGCTCAATTACCTTTCCCCATGCTTTCCCCCACAACCACACACCAGGCCTTGTCATCACATGGGTTGCTACCACACAACCCACTGTCAACTACTGAAGACTCCATTAGCAGTTTTTCATTCCCCCAGGCTGACCTTCAACCACTCCTTTGTTCAACTGTTTTTATTTCTCTTTGGGCTCCATTTCCACCTATTGTTTACTCTGCCCCCACCCCACCCCACGCCACCCCACCCCACGTATAAAAACCATCAGTTCTGAAGAAGAGATAGTAGGAACTGCAGATGCTGGAGAATCTGAGATAACAAAGTGCAGGGCTGGATGAACACAGCAGGCCAAGCAGCATCAGGGGACCAGAGAGGCTGACGTTTCGGGCCTAGACACTTCTTCAGAAATGGGGGAGGGGAAGGGGGTTCTGAAATAACTAGGAAGAGAGGGGGAGGCGGATAGAGGAGAGGATAGGTGGAGAGGAAACAGACAGGTTAAAGAGGCGGGGATGGAGCCAGTAAAGGTGAGTGTAGGTGGGGAGGTAGGGAGGAGATAGGATGGACAGGTCAAGGGGGAGGGATGAAGTTAGTAGGTAGGAGATGGGGGTGTGGCTTGAGGTGGGAGGAGGGGATAGGTGGGAGGAAGAACAGGTTAGGGAGGCAGGGACGAGCTGGGCTGGTTTTGGGATGCGGTAGGGGGAGGGGAGATTTTGAGGCTTGTGAAATCCACATTGATACCATTGGGCTGCAGGGTTCCCAAGCGGAATATGAGGTGCTGTTCCTGCAACCTTCAGATGGCATCGTTGTGGCACTGCAGGAAGCCCAGGTTGGACATGTCGTCTGAGGAATGGGAGGGGGAGTTGAAATGGTTCGCGACTAGGAGGTGCAGTTATTTATTGCGAACCAAGCGTAGGTGTTCTGCAAAGCGGTCCCCAAGCCTCCACTTGGTTTCCCTGATGTAGAGGAGGCCACAACAGGAACAGCGGATGCAGTATACCACATTGGCAGATGTGCAGGTGAACATCTGCTTGATGTGAAAAGTCTTCTTGGGGCCTGGGATGGGGGTGAGGGAGGAGGTGTGGGGGCAGGTGTAGCACTTCCTGCAGTTGCAGGGAAAAGTGCCGGGTGTGGTGGGGCTGGAGGGGAGTGTGGAGCGGACAAGGGAGTCTCGGAGAGAGTGGTCCCTCCGGAAAGCAGATAAAGGTGGGGAGGGAAAGATGTCTTTGGTGGTGGGGTCGGATTGCAGATGGCGGAAGTGTCGGAGGATGATGCATTGGATCCGGAGGTTGGTGGGGTGGTACGTGAGGACGAGGGGGGTTCTGTTTTGGTTGTTATTGCGCGGACGGGGTGTGAGGGATGAGTTGTGGGAAATGTGGGAGACACGGTGGAGGACATTCTCGACCGCTGATGGGGGGGATGTTGTGGTCCTTGAAAAACGAGGACATCTGAGATGTACGGGAGTGGAATGCCTCATTCTGGGAGCAGATGCGGCAGAGGCGAAGGAATTGGGAATAGGGGATGGCATTTTTGTAGAAAGGTGGGTGGGAGGAGGTGTATTCTAGGTAGCTGTGGGAGTCGGTGGGCTTGAAATGAATATCGGTTTCTGGGTGGTTGCCCGAGATGGAAACAGAGAGGTTCGGGAAGGTGAGAGAGGTATTAGAGATGGTCCAGGTAAACTTAAAGTTGGGGAGGAAGGTGTTGGTGAAGTGGATGAACTGTTTGAGCTCCTCGTGGGAGCACGAGGCGGCGCCAATACAGTCATCAATGTAACGGAGGAAGAGGTGGGGTTTAGGGCCGGTGTAGGTACAGAAGAGGGATTGTTCCACGTAACCTACAAAGAGGCAGGCATAGCTTGGGCCCATGCGGGTACCCATGGCCACCCCCTTTGTCTGTAGGAAGTGGGAGGAATTGAAAGAGAAGTTGTTGAGGGTGAGGACGAGTTCGGCTAAGCGGATGAGGAGGGGGACTGGTCGGGCCTGCGGGACAGGAAGAAGCGGAGGGCCTTAAGGCCATCTGCATGGGGAATGCAGGTGTAGAGGGACTGGACGTCCATGGTAAAGATGAGGTGTTGGGGACCGGGGAATTGGAAGTTCTGGAGGAGGTGGAGGGCATGGGTGGTGTCACGGACATAGGTAGGGAGTTCCTGGACCAAGGGGGAGAAAATGGAGTTCAGATAGTTGGAGATAAGCTCAGTGGGGCAGGCGCAAGCGGAGACAATGGGTCGACCAGGGCATTCAGGTTTGTGGATTTTGGGGAGGAGATGGAAGTGGGCGGTGCGGGGTTGGGGAACGATGAGGTTGGAGGCCGTGGGTGGGAGGTCACCTGAGGTGATGAGGTTGTGAAGAAGAGTCACTGGACCCCGAGACGTTAACTCTGATTTCTCTCCACAGATGCTGCCAGAACCTGCTGAGATTTTCCAGCAATTTCTGTATTTGTTTTAGATTTCCAGCATCCACTGTTCTTTCAGATTTTTTTTGTTTTATCTGGTGAAATTCCTATGTTGGACAGAGGGTGGTAGCAGAACACACTCCTCTGTGCTGATAGACAAATGAAGAACCCTCCTAAAGAGGCTGCAATAAACTTAAGAAACCCTGGGATAGGCTTAAAGGCCTTGTGTTACCAACACGTAAGGCATGAGAAGAGGGTGGAAAGGTAAAGGTGAAGAAGGGTCAGGGAAGGTTAATAAGTGAGCACCTTATGGACATTTTTCCCAAGTTTTGACAGAGGAAGTGAATCTGTTACCCATTGAGGGTCAATGACCAACGCTCTTGGATTCCAAGTGATTGGTGATAGATCTTGAGAGGAGTTGAGTGTTTTTGCTGGGAGTTGGGATTGAGAATGCTGCAAGTGGAGGAAAGGGATTTGGACAGGTGCTCCTGACGTGGTGAAATCGAAGCGGGGATATGGAGACAATAACTCCTGCAAATAACTCCAGCAGAGGCACCATGGACTCTGTGGCCTACACCTGGGATGTAAGACTCTAATTTCCTGTCTGAGGTTCTGAGCAGGTTCATTTCAAATGAGCAAGAAGGTACTTGAGAAGGAGTTACTGTGCAACCCTCTCGCCTTGTTCTTCTCTGCTGCTTAGGCCTGTGTGAAAGAGGTGGGTCAGGAGCTGCGTGTGGGTAGCCCCCAGTATCCTGGCTAAGGATCCCTCCAGCAACATCCGAAAACACTGTGGGATCTTGCTGTGCATTAATGGCTGCGTATCCTACATTTTAAAAACAATGACTAATGTTCATTAGAAGTTCAGGGAAGTTGAAAATGTACCCAAGCCTGGGCGTGTGAGTGAACTGAGCCGCACTTAGCGTCAAAGCCATCAATGTTACTGACCAAAATATCTCCTGCTGAGTCACAGTCTGTTTCCGAGTTGAGATTTTGCCTCTTTCTGCAGAATCCAGCTGCTACCTCCTCGCAGAGAGGGTCCTGTGACCTCAACTTTGATGCTGTGGTATTTGACATTCTCATGGTGACTCCAGAAGAATTTGCGGTGAGTAGAACATGAGGAGGGAAGAAGAATGGAGGTGGGACAGGTAGAGGTCAGTAAATTGTGGGCCTTGATTTTATAATGGAGCCTGGAGCCATGAGCTGTGAGATAGTCAAATTGCAAAGAATGAATTTGAAGTTTGGTGCCTCAATTTCCCCCAGAGGTTGTGTTGAGTGTTGTGGGGGCAATGGATTGGTAATTTTATTCTGAATTTGTGCCCTGAGCCAGCTATCGCTCATTTCAAATGAGCTTTGCCGTCTGATCAGGAGGGAAAGGTGCCCAACATCCAGTGAGCTCTGTCGTGGACATTCCTGTGGATGCCTGAGTGGGTCAGGATCACATGCAGTGAGTCCCCCCCACAGGCACAGAGCTCACAAGGTATCCACCAAACTCTCACTAACAAGATGCTGAAGAGTAGGCAGGAGCCAGACACAGGACAGTTGGAGGGAGGTGGCAGGATTGGGGCAAGCTTTTCCTGACTGAAGGGATCTGTTGTACAAAGGGAGTGAAGAAGAATGGCTTCAGAGCCCCATTGGGGAAACCCACCCAGTTTTTTGGATGACGGTTTTTACAAATGTTTAACTTTGTCATTGAGCTTGAGTTTGGATTTCTGTAGCACCTTCCACAGCTTCAGGGTGTATTGACTGCCATTGAAGGTGGTCGTGGTTGTGGGAGGTCAGTCATCTCAGCTCCAGGACATCTCTGCAGGAGTTCCTCAGGGTAGTGCCCTCGGCCCAACCATCTTCAGCTGCTTCATCAATGACCTTCCCTCCATCACAAGGTCAGAAGTGGGGATGTTCGCCGATGATTGCACAATGTTCAGCACCATTCGCAACTCCTTAGATACTCCATGTTAGATGGAGTCCATGTTAAAATGCAGCAAGATCTGGACAATATCCAGGTTTGGGCTGACAAGTGGCAAGTGACATTCGCACAGTGCCAGGCAGCATCTATTGTAAAGAGGTGAGAGTCTCACAGTTTCTAGACAAGATACCTCCCAAATAGTTAAATCCCAGGTGAGGAGGGATGAGCTGTTCCCCTTTTTTTATTTTTTAGAGATAGAAGGAACTGCAGATGCCGGAGAGTCTGAGATAACAAGGTGTAGAGCTGGATGAACACAGCAGGCCAAGCAGCATCAGAGGAGCAGGAAGGCTGACGTTTCGGGCCTAGACCCTTCTTCAGAAAATGAACTCTACTTTTCTCTGCTCTACTTTTCTGTCCAATCATTGCAACAAGGTTAATGTACAATAGAACCCCTTCCCTTGTGGATACCTTTTGTTCAAGCCCAAATACCTTTTATAATTTGAAAGATGCCAAATAAACCAGACTTTCTTGAATGAAGGAGTGAGTGAGTTTATTGGCTACTGTGCAGCATTCCCTCAGTACTGCATCAGAGTGTCAGCCTGTGTCAGGTACTCCATTCACACGTCCATCATTTCTTTAGGTTAACTCAATCCTGCAGGGACGGAAGGGAAGGAACATCTTTGGTTTCTGAGCAGCATGCATGGAATTTGAGTGAATTCTTTGGTCAGTTCTACATTGATATCAGTCTTAAACATCTCCACAATTTTTGGACCATGCCTTAACCATTTCACAAAACCATCAGCAGTTGCTGACTCTGTGCACGCAGAGGAGAAAGTTAATGGTTTGTGATTTTTACCTTCAAAAACCTCACACAGTTTGGTGATTTGAGACTTGTTCATGGTGACAGGTCATGCCAGCTTGTAACTCAGACCGGTGCGATTTTTCATTTTAAGACTACATTTTTATCTGTGGCTCTGGTTATACTTGCTGTGGTCTTGTCAGTATTTATTAGCAGGTGTATAAACCTTTGACTGCGACGGTCCCACCGTAGCATCATAAAATAGTGCAGCACTGAAGGACGCCATTTGACCCATCAGTTCTGTGCTGGCACTTTTGAAGGGCAGTCGAGTTGGTCTCAACTACTTGCCCTTCATATTCCCGTAGAGGGACAGTCCAGCTCAGTGGGCTGGATGGCTGGTTTGCAAAGCAGTGTGACGTCAACAACCTTTACCCCTCTCTCTCCCGTTTGCTCTCCAGCCCCAGCCAATGCTGCCAATCCTGCTGCATATTCCCAGTATGCCCTGGGAAATCTGACAGAGCAATCAAAGAAAGGTTGGCCAAAGGCTGTGAAAACTGAGAGGTTCTGGCCTGAGGCAGGAAGCAAACAGAGTTAGCGACATCTGGTTATGAGGCGGGAATTGGGAATTGGGAATTTGTGTTTGATCGGCAGAATGATTTGGAGGAGCAGAATGTGAAATGAGCCGTCTTTGTCAGTGACACGATTCTGTTCCCCTTTCATGTCCTTACCTTTTGACTGATCCTGAATGTTCTGTTTCAGAGTCAAATCACCCAACTTGACATTCCGAGCTTCAGAGCCATTCGACACCAGGTAGGACCTGGGCTGCAGGAGGCAGCAAGGGGGTAAAGGAGCAGGGATGGGTGTAGGGGAGAGTAGGGGGAGGGGGAAGAGAGAGAGAGAGAGAGAGAGACATGAGGGTAAGGGGTTCAGGCCAGAGGAGGGGAGGGGAGGGGTGTGGCTGTGGATGGGGTAAATGCTTCCAGCCTGGGATAGGAAAGGGGCCTGGTTGCCGGGGGTGGGAATGTGGGACTGGGTCAGGGCGGAGACTGGGCCATGGGAGAGTCAGTGTTGAGGGACATTGTCCTAAAGGACTAGCTAGCCATGTGTTAAAGTGATACAAAGTTGGGGCTAATTTCATGTCAACAACATAACAAACTTATAAAAAGACTCGGATGGGTTATAAACATGGTTGACAGGCCAGCACTGATTGTTCATCGTTCAGTTCCCCTGGAGAAGACTGTAAGGTGGAGGAACAGAAGTAGGCTATTCAGCCCATCGAGTCTGCTCTGTGGTTTAATGAGATCACAGGTGATCTGATCATTCTCGACTCCACTTTCCTGCCGTTTCCCCATAACCCTTGATTCCCTTACAGATTTAAAAATCTGTCTATTTCAACCTTCAATATATTTAATAACTCAGCCTCGACAGCCCCTTGCAGTTCAAAAAAAACCATAGATTCACTCCTCTCAGGGAAGAAGTTCCTCCTCGTCTTTTATCTTAAATGTGTGACTCCTTACTCTGGGATTATTCTCTCTGGTCCTAGACACCGCCCCCCCCCCCCTGCCAAGGGCAAACAAACAACCCTTATCCTACCAACCCCCTCCCTAACAATATATAGGTTTCAATAAGGTCATCTCCCATTTTCCTAAACTCCAGTGAGTACAGGCCCAGCCTACTCAACTTCCCATCAGGAAATCTGTCCCTCCATGCCTGGGATCAGCTGAGTGAGCCTTCTCTAGACTGTCCCAGTGTTAGTCTACTTCCCCTTAGATAAGGGGCCCAAAACTGTTCAGTGTTCCAACTGTGGCCTTGTATAAATTTGGAAAACCTCCCTTTGAAATAAATGTTAACATTCTATTTGTTTTCCCTTTTAGCTGCTGAACTTGGACACTTTTTAATTTTTTTGTGGTGATTTGAAGGTGGTGAGCTGCCTTCTTGAACCATTACAGTCCCATGTGCTGTAGGTAGAGCCACAATGCCCTTGGGTAGGGAGTTCCAGGATTTTGATCCAGTGACCGTGAAGGAACAGCGATTATATTTTCCATTCAGGATGGTGGGTGACTCAGAGGGGAACTTGCAGGGGGTGGTGTTCCCATGCATCTTTGGCCCTTGTCCTTCCAGATGGTGGTGGTTATGGGTTTGGAAGGTGCTGCCTAAGGAGCCTTGGTGAACATGTAGATGGTGCACACTGCTGCAACTGAGTGGTGATATCTGTGTCATTCTAGAACAGTGTTGTGACCTTGCAGAGCCTCTTCAATGTTGGATAATGTCTGGAATTGGATGTACCTGTTGCTGAGTGATATGAAGGACAGTCAGTGCCCCTCTTTACTCTTTAACCAAGGGGGCTGGTGTAGTCAGTTTGGAGGTTGTGATGATCCCACCCAGAAACTGTGTGTCTATGTCAGAGTTTTTGTTGGCGTTTCGGTTCCTACTGTGATGCATTACAGGATTAACTGGCTGCTTCTGCCAATGGAAATGTGAATAATGGATTCTTTTGTCCTGGAAAATGACTGTTTTTATTGTTTCTCACTTTTTAAAATATTTTTGTTCTCTCTCACTTTAATGTGATATTATTCATCTACTTTGGTGGCTGTTGGCTCCTGGATTTTAATATCTTTGAGACCACAGTAAAGGCTTATTCTTCAGGTAGTAACGGTGACAATCCAGAGGCTTTGCTCGGTCATCAGCCTCTGAAATCGCCCTCATGGTGCTGCGGTTGGTTTAATTACATATTTGCGTGTATCTATAGTAACCTGAATTAATTATACCTTACCGGGTGACCAGGTTCACACCAAGTGGGATGGTTTTAGTACAATTGCTCCGCGTCAATTGAATAAAGTCATCTCAAGTTCAAATCCCTCCATGACGTTGGTGCCTCAGCATTCTGCATTTGTACAGCCTCCAATTCCAACCGGCTTCGTGAAACCTATCTCCTTCAGTCCTGGCAGCTGTACTGCCAAATTCCAGAACCATAAGCTTGGTAATTCCCTCCCAGCGTCTGTCTGTCTGTCTGTCTCTCTCTCTCTCATTATAAAATGCTTCTTCAAACCCACTCTTCGGACTGAGTTATAGGTTACCTGTCTATAATATCTCCTCCTGTGGGTTTATTTGACAACCCTTCTGTGAAGCACCTTTTGGGACTTCTCATTACGGTGCCACATAAATGCAGATGGTGGTTGTCTGAGTTTAGCCGACAGTGTGGGAGTGAGGGTCATGCGCAGAGGACGGGTGGCTGTGAGCTCCCGCCATCTGCTGCAACCCCTCCCAAGTATCCTGCCACACTCCCCCCGTCACTAACCCCTCCTTCTCCGGAACCTTCTTGGGTCTTTCCTTCCCGACAGCCCAGAGACCGAGTCCCAATTTTCCAGTCTGTGCGTGTGCTACTGCGTTTGTACAGAAAGTAACACAATTTGGCTCCAATTCTGGATTAACTTCACTGTTTTTTTAATCTCCCTGTTATCCCCACGTCATTAAGAACACTATTACCCCGGATTCCTCTGTTCAGCTCCCCGGTGCCTGTCTCTGTCTGTCAGACAGACAGACAGACTGTGTCAGCATAAAGAGACGGACACTTACAACCTAAAATCCCAATCAGATAGCCCTGACCTACTCCTGGATCCAGCCGACAAATTTGTTTGAATGTCCACTACAGCAACTTGATCTCCTTGTTTCAGCATCTGTTTCTGTTCATAAAGTATTTTTTTTTTGTCTAGATTTAATTGTTGGTGTTGCTTGTTTAGCAGCTTTTAAAATAAGGTGTAGTTGTTTGAAGTGACAGGGAGAGGCTGTGATGTAGTTAGCATTCCAGATTTTGATGTTTAACATCCTGCTGCTTCACAAATTGAGGCTAAACAGCAAACAACATAAAATTAGTGAGAACCAAACTTAAAAATTGAAAATTCCCAGATAGAGAGAACCTGAGTTTTGAACACAGGTTTTTCTCTGGGTGGGACTGAAGCTGGGTGTTGCTGTCTCTGTGTCTCGAGTGGATTCTCTCCCCAGCTCCAATATTGGACAAATTGAAACCCTTGCAGTGGGAAATGCAGGATATTGCAGTTTACTGGTCTGGGAGATTCTCTGAATTCACTCCACCCCCCACACTCACCCAGTGGGAAGTACTGAAGATTGTAGGTTCAGATTCCATTGAGAGAATTCAATAGTTTGGTTGGAGCTGAAAGACTACACAAGGTACCGCCTGGTTTATAGACATTTGGACTTGCTCTCCCACCCACTCTCTCTCTCCATCCATCCATCCACTCACCTGCTCCCTCACACCAATCTGACTGAGGACCATTTTGAGGGATGGATGCAAGGTTTTGCTACTCTGTCTGGAGCAGGTCCAGCCCGGTCCCACTGCACCAACTCTCCTTGTGTAAAGTCCCGTTCAAACACTTTATGCAATGTGCCTGGTTCCTACTGCAGCTCTGTAGGTGGCACAGAGGCAGATGATCCAACAGGAGGCTGTGCAAGTGGCTACTTAGATTCCTTTTAAGGTGCGGATTTGCTTTTATTACCTTGCAAAGCAACAGAACCGCAGTTTGGAGCTGATCCTGCTGCCATTTGGGAACCACGAATTTAGAAACTGTTGCCAAACACTCCCAGATTCCAGGCAGTAGCGCTTGCTGGTTAATGGTGTATTGTACAATCCACTTTTCTGTAATACGTTCCTTCTGGGAAAATGCTTTTCCACTGCCATTTGTGTTCAGCCCCGATTGAATGTAAATGGGGAGACCAAAACAACATTGTCAAGTGCTGGAGAAACTCATCAGATCTGGCAGTATTTATGGAGAGAGAAAGAGTTAATGTTTTGAGTCCAATGTGACTCTTCTTTGAAACTGCTACTAGGTAGGTACTTTCTTTTGGGGCTTATTTGAACCTTTCAATATGTACTGATAACCAAACATAGCCAGCTTAGAATTTAAAAATCTCATCTAAATGTTCAGATCCCTCCATGGCCTGAGCTCGTGACAGACTCTGTAGCTTTCAACAACCCTCCAAAGAACAAAACAGCACAGGAACAGGCCCTTCAGCCCACCAAGCCTGTGCCAATAATGATCCTTATTTAGACACACTACTTATCGCCCACACGTGGTTTCTATCCCTCTGTTCGCCTCCTGTATGTGTGTCTGTCAAGATACACCTTAAACATTGCTAACATGCCTGCTTCCAGCACCCCACTGGCAGTGTGTTCCAGGCACCCACCACCCTCTGTGAAAGATTTTCCCTGCACTTCTCCCCCAAACTTTCCCCCTCTCACCTTGAGCCTGTGCCCTCTTGTCGTTGACATTTCCACCTGGGAAAAAAGCCTCTGACTATCCACCCTATCTATGCCTCTCATAATTTTGTAGAGATCCATCAGGTCGCCCTCAGCCTCTATCTTTCTAGTGAAAACAATCCAAGTTTATCCAACCTCTCCTCATAACTCAAACTCCCCAGACAAGGCAACATCCTGATTAAACTTTCTCTGCACCCTCTCCAAAGCATCCACATCCTTCTGGTAGTGTGGTAACCAGAACTGCACGCAATATTCCAAATGTGACTTAACTAAAGTTTGTTACAGCTGTAACATGACCTGTGAACTTTTATATTCGATTCCCCGGCTGATGAAGACAAGCAAGCTCAGTGCCTTCTTGACCACCTTCTCCACCTGTGTTGCCACTTTCAGGGTTCTGTGGACCTGTACGCCCAGATCCCATTGTATGTCAATTCACCTGAGGGTTCTGCCACTTATTGTATAATTTGCACCTAAATTTGATCTTCCAAAATGCATCACCTTGCACTTGCCTGGATTAAACTCCATCTTACATCTCCCTGCCCAAATCTGCAAACTATCTATATCCTGCTGTATCCTTTAACAATCCTCCTCACTACCTGCATCTCTAACAATTTTGGTGTCACCCACAAACTTACTAATCAGCTAACCTACATTTTCCTCCAGATCATTTACGTATGTTATATACAACAAAGGTCCCAACACTGATCCCTGTGGAACGCCACCAGTTACAGATCTCCATTCTGAAAAGTGACCTTCCACTTCTAATCCTCCTTCTATGACCAGGCCAGTTCTGTATCCATCTAGCCAGCTTGCCATCCCCCAGATCCCATGAAATTCTACGTTGTAGCAGCCGACGATGAGATACCTTATCAAATGCCTTACTAAAGTCCATGTAGACAATATCGACTGCCCTTCCCTCATCAATCATACTTGTCACCACCTCAAAATAAACTCAATCAAGTTGATGAGACATGACCTCCCCACAAACCCAGTGCCTTCCCCTCACCAAATCCATGCTGCCTTTTGCTAACAAGTCCACTCACTTCCAAATGTGGATAGATCCTGTCTCTCAGTATCTTCGCCAACAGTTTCCCCACCACTGACACCAGGCTCACAGGCCTATAATTACCTGGATTATCTCTCTCTCCCTCCTTAAACAAAAGAACAGAATTGGCTATTTTCCAGTTCTCTGGAACCTCGCCTGCGGCCAAAGAGGATATGAAGATATCTGTTAATGTCCCAGCTGTTTCTTTCCTTACTTCCCCCATTATCCTGGGATAGATCTCATCTGGTCCTGGGGTATTGTCTACCTTAATCCATTTCAAGACACCCAACCTTCATTGGTTGAAGCATTGAGTACAGGAGTTGGGATGTTAGGTTACAACTGTACAAGACATTGATAAGGCCACATTTGGAATGCTGTGTACAATTCTGGTCATCCTGCCTGATGTGGAAGGTTTGTCTTGGGCCTGGGATGGAGGTGAGGGGGGAGGGGTAGGGGCGGTCGCAGGGAAAGGTGCCGGGGGTGGTGGGGGGCTAGTGGAGAGTGTGGAGCAGACGAGGGAGTTGCGGAGATAACGGTCCCTATGAAAAGTAGATAAGGGTGGGGAGGGAAAAATCTCTTTGGCTGTGAGGTCGGATTGCAGGTATCGGAAGTGGCGGAGAATGATATGTTGAATGAGGAGGTTGGTGGGAGGACAAGAGGGATTCTTTGTCTTTGTTTTTGTTTTTGTTTTTGTTGCGGGGAGGTGATGTGAGGGCAGAGGTGTGGGAGAGGTATGATAATTTTCTCTGTCATCCTAGGTCCCAAACCCTGATATTCCTGTCCTTCATTTTTACAGGAATATGCCTGTCCTGCACTCTACTCAACTGGTCTTTAAAAGGCTCCCATGTGTCAGAGGTGGATTTGCCCTCAAACAGCTCCCAATCCACATTCTCCAATTCTTGTCTAATTCGGTTATAGTTGACCTCTCCCCAATTTAACACCTTCGAGGTCCGAGGTCCGCTCTTGTCCTTATGTATAAGTATCTGAAAGCTTACGGAATTAGGGTCACTTCCCAAATGCTCTGCCTGCTGAAACTTTTGGCTGGGTTCATTCTCAATACCAGGCCAGTAAGGCTCCCTCCTTTGTTGGACTATCCATGTATTGTTTCAAAACAAAGCCCTCCTGGATACACCGAACATATTGGTCCCCATCCAAAGCCCTAGCGTTAAGGCAGTCCCAGTCACTAACGGAGGGGGAAGTTGAAATCACGCACCACAACAATCCTGTTATTTTCACATCTTTCCAGAATCTGACTACATATCTCTTCCTATTCCTGAGCTCTACCCATAATGCCATGCTGCAAGATTCCCTCCAGGATGTCCTCCTTCCACACAGCTGTGATCTGCTCCCTAACCAGCAATGCAACTCCTCCAACTCTTTTGCTTCCTCCTCTGTCTCTTCTAAAACATCAATATCCTGGATCCTGTCTCTGTGATAGGGACAACGTAATTGCATGCATTAATCCTGGCTCTAAGTTCGTCCATCATACCTGTTATACTTCTTACGTTGAAGCAAATACAGTCCCAACCTCCGGTTCTGTAGAGCTCAGCAACCTCTCCCTGACTGCACTGTCTTTTAGCTATATTTGTCTGAGACTCCAGCTCTTCCCTAGTGTCTGTACTTAATGACCTACTGCTCTGGTTCCCACCCCCTGTCACACAAGTTTAAACCCTCTTGAGTGGCACTATCAAACCTGCCTGGCAGGATATTTTGTTTGGGTGAAACCCTGTCCTTCTTTTACAAGTCCCACCTTCCCTGGAAGAGATCCCAATGATCCACGTATCTGAAGTCCTCCCTGCTACACCAGCTCTTTTTAGCCACACGATCAATTGTACTGTGTCTCTGTCCCAGGCATCAGTAACATGTGGCACGGGGTATAACCCTGAGGTTACTACCCTAGAGGTCCTGTTTTTTTAGTTTACACCCTAACTTCCTGAATTGTTGTTACAGGATCTCCAATCTGTGTGTTCCTGACATCTTGTGCATCCTTCATTTAATTCTCTTCACCATTGGGGGATGGGGGCAGGGGGGAACATGTCTTTAGCTGGTGAAGACCTCAGCTTTGGAATTGTCTTGTACCCCATCCATCCCCTCGTCTTGTCAAGGAACTGTTTGACTGAGCTTTATACGGCTGAGGGGGTCCTATCTCCTTAAATGACACACTGGTAACTCTGTGCTGAAGCACCTGGAATGCTTTCCTATGAAAGATGCTATCTGAATGCAGCATATTGTTTGTTAACTCAGTGCCAGTTGTTTGAATTGTGAGTTGAGGTTTGATGGCAGTTTGTTTGGGATGATCCACTTCATTACAGCTGGGAGCCTGGCTGCTGGAAGTGAGGGATTCTGATCTTCGATTGTGTACCATCAGCTTAAAACACAGACTGCATTCCAAAGGCTGGAGAGGTACAGCTCCAACCTCTGGCTGAGATGTTTACTCCATCACTTTGTTCAGCACCTTCCTCCTCCCAACCCCTTGGTCTCTCTTTCTCTCCAAATTAAAATAATCTTGATTTAACTTTTTAATAAAATCATTTTATGACCAACTCATGTTGTTTGCCAAAGAACAAAGTCATGGAATTAAAATTAAAGAGTCTGGAAAAACATCTGTGTTCAATTTTGGAATTTATTTGATGAAACATTTCATTTCCAATGTTCCTGCCCACTCCTCTCCTCCTTCCCCCCGCCCCCCACTTCCCAAACTTAGATGGATCAGCAGCTTATTTTAGGCCTTTTTCTTAAACTCTCAATATTAGAAATAGTCTCTCACATGTAATCTCCAAATGATAATCTTCTGTAGATGATGGTTAGTTGAAGAGTGATTCAGACATAACCATTGGCCACTGTCTGCCTTTGGTTTTAGTTAATTCAAACCACATTGTGAGTTTCAGTGTACACAGGGCTGATCTTAACATGTATGTTGTACCATGTAGTGCACATTTTACTGGGTAGACGGAGCTCACATTCTGGGTTTGCAATCAAGCACCAAACTGGACTTGCTCATCATTCTCTTGCAAACTTTTGGAGTTTACGCCAACTTCTTTTGCATAAGCATGTAATCAAATTTGGAAAAGTCTGCTCATTTGACAAGTTCAGAGCATTTTGATGCAACCAGTGAGGTACTGGTGTAGTGTGGTCACTGCTGTGATGTAGGAGGCATGGCAGCCTATGTGCGCACAGCAAGATCCCATTAATGGTAATGAGATAAGGATCAAGTGATGGGTTTTGAGACAGATATTTTCCAAGACACCCAGAGAAAGCTCTCCTCTTCTTCTTTGAATAACTGGTGTGGGATTTTTACATTTATGACAGAGGGCATTAAAAACTATCAGTGTGGCACTCCCTTGGTGCTGACCCTCGGGCAGTGTGGCGCGCTCCCTTGGCGCTGACCCTCGG